TTTTTTTTTTTTTTTTTTTTTTTTGAAAAAAACTCTAACACAATTTTTTTATAATATAGGACTAATATTTTAATTGAGAGGTCTAAAATAAAAAAAAAATGATTGATTAAAAATTTTTGCATTTAAAACATATATACAACAATTACAAACAATGATTAAAGATGATTATTATTTACCTTATGATTGATTAGGGCAAGACCGTCGATTATCACGAGAACAGGTGACAATCAAAAAATTAGGAGCGATGTCATTAAATAAAGAGATGTTTAGAATGAACATGATACATGAGATACATGATACATTCATTAGAGATCTAAAATAATAATAATAATAATAATAATAATAGTATGCATGAGAATGTAAGTTGCATGTTATTTCAGATGTCAAAAATGCAAGTCAAAAGTATAAATAATAATTACCGAGAACAGGGAAACGTAAAAATCGGAATTTAAATGTACACGTGATTCTCGAACAGGTTTCAAATCGGCGAAAAATATTTGTTGAAAAAAAATGCTGGCCTTCCTCGCCGGATATTCAAGTGAATTTAAGATGTAAAGGAAAATAATCCTTAAATATTGCCGACACCAACACAATCTCCTTCAAAATTTGAGCTCCGTTTTAAAAACTTATTCGCACGTGACAACATTTCATAACAATATGATAAAAAAAGATGTTTTTGAAATAAAATCGGTAAAACGAAAATAATGTTTAAAAAAAAAAATTGTCCTATCGAATTTTATAATTTAAATCAAATCATTTCAACGAAATTTTGAAAGATTGATTAATTCGTAAAAATAAATTTATAAAACGAAAAAAAAAACGTTAAAATAGAGAGTATAAGGTGTATAAGGGAAAGAGGTTACGTGTGCTGTTTCTGAGTCAAGACGAAAACGTTTCAAATTCGGTAATCGAAAAGTCGTTTTATATAGTGCCGGATTTTTTTTTGAGATAAAAGGTAAGAAACGTTAAAAAGTCATAAAAAAAAGAAAAAAATATATATATGGAGGCGAATCTGTATTGTTAAAAAAATTTTTTCTCTGAATTCACGGAAAAAAAGAAGAAATAAAAAAAATTGAAATTTAAAAAAAATAATAAGTTTATAATAAGAGGAAAAAACGAAATATAAAAAAAAAAAGAGGAGAGTTTTCGCAATGACTCAGAAACCACACACGTTTAATTTAAACGAATCATTATGGAAGAAAAAAGGTGAAGGTAATGGAATATCCCTGTTTTATGAGGTTCGAGTAGAAGCCTAAAGAAAAGAGGCGAGTTAACGAAAAAGCATCTCGTTTATATATTGTAAAAAAAAAAATATCTGTTTCACGAAAATTTTTTCATATCAGCATGATCTTGTGTTTAATTTAGATTTTCAGTCAAAGTATTAATTTGGTCTCATTTCGGTACTAAATTTAATTATTCAATGAGAAGTTAAATAAAATTGTCTTTTAGAAAAAACTTGAAACAAAAATTGCACACACACAACATTAAAATTGTTGTACATTAAAAACCAAGATATCAAGCTAATTTGGGAAAGTTATAAAATAAATATCTGTCAAAGTACTTGTCAAAATGATAATGTAATATAAAAATACAATATACCGTATATATAATATATAATATATATAATATATAAGTATATATAATATATAAGTATATATAAATAATAATAGTATAATTTAATAATATAATATATACTACTAACACTACATATATATACTACATTACATATACTACATACTATATAATACTACCCCATGCGTTTACTGTGTGAAATGTCAAAATGTCAAGACAATCATATCTCAAAATTTCATTATATTATCCCAATCACCCTCCCCTCTTCTCTCTCTTCCCCTTCCAAATTAACGACAATAGGAAACATTGTTCTTTTAAGTGATTCTCCACACAAAAGATGCATAAACTGAGACGTCATGTGCGGAGTAAAAACTTCCAAAGTTGTTAAGAGTTTATATGTGGGGAAAGAAAATGACAAAATATAACAAAAGAAATGATTGGGTCATCTTTGATTTACGCGTAATAAATGTACCTTGATTTGTTTGATTGCAGTTATGCAGTTATGCAGTTGTGCAGTTATTGACAGCGAAAATAGCTTAATTAAATTTTTTTTTTTTTACAAAAACATTACGCTTATCAATAAAAATATATCAAGATAATTACAAACTTTATATCATAAAAATTTCATAACTTTTTACGTTAAACAAACTTTTTTGATGACGTAATCAAAACCATTGAAAAAACGGTCTCTTGGGAAAATTACCACATAAACTTTACGCACAGTTCACATTTTTGGCGTCGGTGCTCTTTATTCCGAATTTCTCCATTATTCCTGTTTTATTTTCTTCTTCTTTATTATTATGCAAATGATAGGAAATACTTTAAAAGTATAAATAAATTTCTATAATTTTTTTAGATTTTTTATGCTGTATAAACGCCCAACAATCTTTAATTGACAAGGATAATCCCGACAAAAAACCCTTTT